TTTGAACATATTATATAAGACACAATCCGAAATTTTAACTTACAACATAAAAAACGTATGTTCTCGCACAAAGTGCGGATCAAAATCTAGTTTCTTTTTATTTAAAAAGTTGAGTTAAGGAAATTGAAGACAACAAAAAGTTAATAAACCTAATTTGGAGCATGGAAACCAAGTAGCATTCTATATCAAAAGCAAAATGGAAGCTAATTCGGAGTGTGACGACTATGTTTTCTTGAATGTAGATTGTCATGACTTTGGGTTAGACTATGCATAATATCAACATGATGAAAATTTTCTCTTCTAGAAATATTTTTTTTTTTACAAATTTTATTCTTCTCCACTAAAATATTACATTCAATTTTGGTTTCTATTACCCCCAAATTCATTTAATTTCGAGTTTATATATGCCCAATTTCGAGTTCTGGTTAGTTTCTAGAATCTTAAATTCGGAGTCATAAAACAATCTTTATAGGAAGAAATTGAAACCCAGATGTATCAGATGCAAATCGCCGTCCACATGTATCAGATGCAAACCCACATGATTTCTCTTTCCAAAGAACTTTGATTGATTTTGGTGTGTAAAGTACAATGTTTTGTTGATTGCTAGCTCTTAGCTTCGCTTTTCTGAGAAACATGGATGAAACATATTCATAATTGCAGTCTTGTACCATTTTAATCTTTTTTTTGTTGTTCTTTATTCTCAGTGGTTATGAACATAAGAAATTTTAGATCTTGTTCTTAGAAAAAGATGTTTTAAATAATTTAACCATATGAGTAGGATTTTGGGCATATTTGATTACTCTATTTTATTTGCTACAAAATTTGTTTATTGGAGTATGAATGAAACTAAGAAGTTTTGAGAGCATCCTCCTCGAGAATAAAAAAACTGAATCCGTTTACACATAATTCATCCATGTGGATAAAGTATTGTGGACATATATTAACAGAGATGGTCTCAATTTTTTTTAAAAAAAGAAGTTTTGCTTTGATTTGTGAATAAATGGTCATAAGTTCATGGAAACAAAGTTTTTGTTGCTGATTTATGTTTTTATTGATGAATTTTTGTTTTTAGTGTTGTCTTATTCTTCGTGGATATATATCTGTGGATAGATTATTATAATGGATAAGTTTATTTGTGGATAGATTTATGTGGATGACTAATTGTGGACACATTAATATGTGTTTGTACTTTGAATCCCCATTATTTTTCAATCTAATTTTAATCCTAATGACTGTCTTTGAAGGAAATACAATTATACTTGACTAGCTAGGTAGAATACTAGTAGTCGATTAACAGATTATATTACTTGACCACGATGACTTGAACATAGAAACAATTAAAACATAAGAGTAGCTATACATGACATGCTGAAAATGTTGGTCGTCAGTTAATTGACCACGAAAACTCGACCATACAGACACATGGTATATGGAGATGTTAAAAAATTTCCACGAAGACTCGATCATATAGACTCGACCATACATGC